TGACAGGGCCAGCCCACCAGGACCAAAAGGTACCTTTGGAGAGAGTAAATTGAAAGAATCTCAGTGAGCTGAATGAGAGAGGCTTGGTTTATTGGCTGTCTCTTATACACATCTAGATGTGTATAAGAGACAGAAAGAGGAGTGGGCAGGCAACCTTGAAAAGAGCCGACAGCAGGATGTTTTCCGCCAACGCAGACGCCTTCTAAGGAGCCTGTGTGGAGGAGCCCCAGGAAACTGCCCCCTGACCGGGGAAGCCGCCGTGGGAAGCTTTGTGGTGAACAACATCTGGTCCCATGAAACAAAGACTTAAAACGTTATCACAACTCTTAGCTTCTATGGAATTCTCCTAGCACAAATTTCTGTGGAATGGATGCTCTTTCACGCATTTCCCAGCTGCAGAAGAGAATTCCATCACGTGCACATGTCTAACAATCTGCAAAGAGAGGATACGTTGATCCGATTTAGAAATATTGAAAAGACTTTTTAAGGACACTGACAGTTGCAAGCTTGTGTATCACCACAAGGAGCTGAGTTTCTTATCTAGTAGCAAGTTGTCACTCTTCTAGGGATTTAACCAAAATGTGAATGTTAAGGTGGAAATGAAAGTTGGAAATGGCTGCTCCCCTTCTCTCATCCCATCTTTATCTGCTGTAGACTAGGAATCTTGAGCAAAACCAGTGCATCCCATTCTTTCCCTCCCCCAGTTTATTTTGTCCTGCTGTGGCATCCCTCTTTGTCATTCCTTATAGCCGGTGCCCACCATACAACTTGCAGCTCCAAAGACATCCAGAGGAAGGCGCCAGAGATGCCTAAGAGTTGGCTCAAAGCTGTCAATGAAACTAACCCTGGCGATTTCATCCTTTGGAATTAAGTGTATTTTTATCTGCATTCTTCTTAAAGCAAACAAAGACAGATGGCAAGGAAACAAGCCAATGTGAAAGATGTCTTAAAAAAAAAAAAAAAAAAAAAAAAAAACCTTTCAGGAGAGGAACATGTTAGGAAAGAGAGAGAAGTGCTAATAGCTCCAGACCAGCATAATGACAGTCTAGAGGGTTAGGCCTTAAGGCTGCTGATAGATCTTGAGCACAGGTGAGTGCTGGGTTTGTGCTCATTAAGTTGTATTTACTAATACAAGGATGTAGTCACAGATACTTTAGAATGATTTTAGACAGGAAGGATTTTCTGTGTTGCATTCTTATTGCAGATATAACTAGAATCTTTCCTTGTTCTCTAACGTTTCTGCTCCTTCAGTTCTTTTTCAACATTTATAGTAATGTTAGCTAAACAAAATCAAACCCTCTAAGAATGGCAATTTTAAGTTCATGACACGGCACTAGTAGAGGCACAATGGCCTCCTAAAACTAGATTAAGTACTCTTCCATCCTCTTCTTAATCTTTCTGTCTTTCTCTAAGCTTGGCATAGCTAGAGAAAGCTGCTGCTGCTTTCTCTGATGTGACAGATAGTAATGATAGTTCTCAGTTCTGTGTTCTGACGGTCAAACCTTGGAGCCAGAGACAGACAGGCAGGGAAATAAATCTTATTTAGGTGCTGCCAACACTATGAATTTTATTAAAGGACATTGACTCATTCTACAGGGAAAGCCTTCCACTGGTGGCTGAGACAGTCATTGGGTAAAATGCTTTGATACCATTCCCTTCTCTGTGGAGGAACACTTTGCTGCCAGACTCTGTAGGTTTAATTAACACGTTAACTTGAATGGCTGAGTTGTTTTCTTTTTAGTCAGTATAACACCAGACTGGACAACTAACTTTTTAGGGAGAAAATGTCTGAAGTAGTAGGTGGAGAATACAGAGCAGTTTTGTCTAAAAGTGAGTATTCAAGACTCTGCTTTCAAATCCTTGGGAGTTTCAAATACACTGATATTTATAGGGTTTTGTGGATGTGTGTTTTGTTTGTTTTTTAGGTATATGCCTCTAGTTATAAATCCATGGAACTAAAATATAGTCCTCTGATAAATTGTCTTTGTCCACCAATTGTGTAACCTGGGTGCTTTATTAGGTAGAAACATGACTAGGAAATTCACGTGGTGCCAAATCATTATCTTTTTCATTTATCATCTACTGCTTGAGGCACCTGTACATGTAGAAGGATAGGATTTCCAACATCTAAAAGCTTCGCAATCTCATTAAAGAGGCAGGAAGTGGTCTTAGAAATTTTAGAGTAATTTTAGATAGAAAGGAATTTCTGCCTTGCATTCATGGAAGATTCTCTTGAAAGGCTCTTAAGAGAATTAAACATAAATACGTGGCTGGTAGTTTGATAGCATCTGCTCTTGTTCCACAGTTCTTTGGAGATGAGACCGGTAGGAATCTTAGTAGGTAGAGGAGGGTTCATAGAGGAGGTGGCCTTTCATCTGGCTCTGAAAACAAGACTGGCATTGAAGAAGGAAAGTCTTGAAGCCACTTTTGCCAGAGTGGGCAGCCTCAGTGAAGGCACAGCAAGGCGCGTGTGGGAAGGTGACAGGGCCAGCCCACCAGGACCAAAAGGTACCTTTGGAGAGAGTAAATTGAAAGAATCTCACTGAGCTGAATGAGAGAGGCTTGGTTTATTGGATTGTTTTGTATACCCACTGCTTGAGGGGCCTCTACATGCTCACAAATAATGAAGTTGCTCTTTGAAGATATAAACAAATGTCTTGGGACATACCTGAGTGGTCCACAAGCTCCAGATTCAAGCTTAGGGGATAAATTTACAAACAGAAAAAAAGAACCACAAATGCTGGCGCCCAACAATTCCTCATAGAGATGAATTCTCTGTGGGAACGGGAATAGCAATGCTTTGGTGTAGCTGTAGGAGCACACGGAGTTTATGTATTATTCTTGCAGCATGTATATGAGTTCAGCCTGTTACCCAGACATATTATTTTGAACTGTCCTGATACTTTTACATTTGCATTAATCTTTGTATGTTACTAAATATAGATATATCTGTTTGACATAGGCACACCACAATGGTATGAACTCTGCTCCCTTTAAACTTATAGAAAGAAGTAGAGCTCTAGGCTTAAAAAAAAAGAAAAAAAAGAAAAGAAGACAAAGGGGAGAGAGAGAGAAGTGGATACTCTCGGGTTGGGTGCCTGCTGCTGTTGTACAATTCTCTGTGGTGAAATACCAGGTGTTCAGGACATGCTGGGAACAAGAAGCAGGCCATGCATACACTGCCTGTTTGGGTTCTCAGTTAAGACAGTGTGACCTGTCCCATCTTCTGTTATCTCTATGAGAGGAGGTGTCACCCATCTCTCCTTGGCACTTATAAAATATATCAAACATGAAATGTACCCCGGAAACCAGTCTCCCTCAGGCGTGGCCAAAGAATGAATAATAGGCTGGGCGTGGTGGCTCACACCTGTAATCCCAACACTTTGGGAGGCTGGGATGGGCAGATCACGAGGTCAGGAGATTGAGACCATCCTGACTAACACAGTGAAACCCCATCTCTACTAAAAATCATAGTAAAAAAAAAAATAGCCGTGGGTGGTGGCAGGCACCTGTAGTTCCAGCTGCTTGGGAGGCTGAGGCAGGAGAATGGTGTGAACCCGGGAGGCGGAGCTTGCAGTGAGCCAAGATCACACCACTGCACTCCAGCCTGGGCAACAGAGTGAGACTCTATCTCAAAAAAACAAAAGCAAAAACAAAAGAATAATAAAAAAGACTTAGAAAGAAAAAGGTACAGATTCTCCTTGACTGGATGCCTGAATAATGTGTAATTATTACTTAGATAAGCTTACATAGATAAGTTGGCTTATTTATATGTTGTCCCTGTCTATCTTACCACTTTGACTCACGCTGTTCCTTTGTGAATAATGCTATTTTTAGCCATTTGAATGCTGTCATTCATTCAGGTCCCAGCTGTTTCACCACAGCATCTGGGAAGCATCCCTAAATTGGCTCCTGTCTTCTGCATTGTTTTATCACTGGCTGCCTCGTGCATTTCTCATTATGTGAGCCAGGTTCTGGTTACATTGCGTGCTCTTCCAGAACCTTGTCTAGATTTTGCACTTCTTTGCATTCCCCACAATTCTCGGCACATGCTAGGTCAAGTGGCACAGCTGACTTTATTGCCAGGCAGAACAGGGTGTGCATTCCAGTTCATTCAACTACTGACTTGACATGTAATTTCTAACAAGTCAGTTAATCCTTCTAAACTTCAGTTTCCTCAACTGTAAAATGAAGATATTAATCTGCCTTGCAGAGCTTGTATAAGGAATGGAGGTGGTACATGTGGAGCACTCACCTTGTGTATAGCAGGTGTTCAATAAATGTTAGGTATTATTATTACTATTGATCCAATGAACTGATGCTTGTGTATGTGATGTACTATAGAACCATAGTGTTGAGTAACTTCTGTTCTTTACAGTTATACAGCTCTGCTGAGTTTGGGAGAAGGTGGCAGCTTATCCAAGAAGGGGTTGTACCAAACAGGTTCTACTGGTAAGTCTCACTTTATCTTGTAGCACATTAAGATATGATCTAGTCAGATATGACCTAGTAAATGACCATTGGAATCTTGTTCTCACCAGTGCTCTCACATAAGGTCTGTTCTTATTGGGACATGCCCACATCCCCTCAGGGCAGGATGTGACATTAGAGTAAGAAACACTTTAAGAGAATGTTAAAAAATCTATCACAGTCTTTTTGAAAAACCCCAAATGGATTATGGAGGTTAGTGAACTGCAAGGGCTTTATGAGAATTGCTTTGTTATATTTTGGTGGAACCGTGGAGAGAGACGTTTAAAAAAATCTAATAGTGACTTTTTATTATTAAAAGCATTATATACACATATATCACATATTCAAATGAAGATTTTCAGTCTAAAGAAGTAGGTTTTATTTAGTCTAAAAGTAGATCTTCCTCTCATTCCTGATTTTAGATCTTGTAAGCCTTCCCCTTGTCATTTATTTATTTATTTATTTATTTATTTATTTAGACAGTCTCACTCTGTCGCCCAGGCTGTAGTGCAGTGGTATGGTCTCAGCTCACTGCAACTTCCGCCTGCTGGGTTCAAACAATTCTCCTACTTTAGTCTTCCCACTAGCTTGGACTACAGGTGCATGCCACCATGGCTGGCTACTTTTTGGATTTTTAGTAGAGATGGGGTTTCACCATGTTGGTTAGGCTGGTCTTGAACTCCTGACCTCAAGTGATCTGCCCACCTCAGCCTCCCAAAGTGCTGGGATTATAGGCTTGAGTCACCGTGCCTGGCCAGCCTTCTCCTTGTCATGTGGGACACAGTTGCTATTACTAGTTTCTCAATTATCTTTTTAGAAATGTTCCGTGAATTGCCAAACGTGTGTGTGGGGTGTGTGTGTGTGTGTGTGTGTGTGTGTGTAGTCTTACTTTGCTTGGACTGCAGTAACAGAATACCATAGACTGGGTAGCTTAAACAACAGATATTTATTCTTCATTGTTCAAGGCTGGGGAGTTCAAGGTGCTGGCAGATTTGGTTCCTGCTGAAGACTCCCTTCCTGGCTTGCAGATGGCTCCCTTCTGTCTGTGTCCATACATGGTAGAAAGAGAGAGCTCTGATCTCTCTTCCTCTTTTTTTTTTTTTTTTTTTTTGAGATGCCTACCTCAGCCTCCCCAGTAGCTGGGACTATAGGTGCCCACCACACCTGGCTAATTTTTTGTGTTTTTAGTAGAGAGGGGGTTTCACCGTGCTAGCCAGGATGATCTCACTCTCCTGACCTCATGATCCCCCAGCCTCAGCCTCCCAAAGTGCTGGGATTACAGGTGTGAGCCACCACACCTCTTCCTTTTTTTTATCAGGGCATTAATCCCATCATGAGGACCCTATCCTCATGACCTAAGTTAAACCTAATCACTTCTTAAAGACCCTATTTGCAAATACCATCACATCATTGTGGGTTAGAGTTTCAACATATGAATTTTGAGGAGACAAAAATATTCAGTCCCTAACATATACAGATAGAGATACCCACATTTACATAAATGGTAGCTGTGCACACTGTTCTATACCTTGTTTTTTTTTTTTTGGCGAGGATGCAGTTTATTATGCATACATCATTATTTTTAGTTGACTACATATCATTTTGCTCTAAGACTATAGATTGGAGGTAAATCTTATGCCTAATTAATGCAAAACATAAACTATATATGTTAGTGGGATATATGTATGGGAAAAGAGAAATACGTGAAGAGAAAAAGAGAAGGGGGCAGCAAGAAAAAGAAAGGGACAAAGGAAATAGCATTCCTTTCTTTAACCACCTCAGTTCATCCCCCTAGTTAAACTAGACGTGGCTCTGTCCGTGGGAATGGGTGAGTAAAATTGAAAACAAGGAAAATATCAGAAGTTAACTTTGGCTTTTAAGTTTCCAAGGTCTTAGATTCTGGCAAAGTAAGAACAAAGCACAGAACATTCTAGTGTGATTTTGGTGTTAATATTTATCGATACCTTTGAATATACATCCTACCTCCTGCCAAAAGATGTGATTCTACCTTACCCTAATTTCTCTAATCTGCCTGTGGAAAAGACATTCAGGTTGTTTCAAGATTTTTACTACTATAAACTGTGTAACAAGGAACTAGCTCAGACAGGAGTTTAAATATCCTTTATTCATGTCATTCAGAATCACTGTGACAGTGACCTTTTAGGAGCCAATGAGCTCCCTGCAATGAGGGCAGTGAAAGTATCTCCTCTTGATTCCTCTTGAAATCACACTGCCTCTCATCAGCCTTTAGAGTTACAGGCAGAATAGATCACCAAGGTACATAATAGCTTCCCACCTCCACTCCAATTCTTTCGCTTTTATATGAACTTCTAAGAGGAATGCATTTTTATCTTTCTCATTTTCAAACACTACCCTAAAACCCCTGTGGGAGTTGAAAGCCAGAGAACTACATTAGAGAAATCTCTTAAAAAGCTAGCAAAACTGCCTGAAAAAGTTAGGCCATTTGCAAACAAACTGACTCTGAGATAATAACACAAGGACTTCTATATGGCAAGATACCCCTTTTTCCCCTATCAAAACGAGACATTTGTAACTAAAGGAGGTTTTTGTTGCACAGAAGCTTATTTACCTCTCTCCCTCTGGCACTCTTGTTCAGGATGGTGTAAGCCTTGCTTCTAAAGTTCAAATTGACATCTCCTGTCTCCAGGAACTCAACTCTGTCTCTTACTGAACCTCCTTTCTCTGGTCAGCGTTTTTTTCTCCCTCTCTTACTAATTTTGTATCGTACTCATGAGAAACCTTCATCTCTGTGTGTTTTGTCTATAAAGTATAAAGTTAGTTTATGGAAGAGAAGGTTCATGTCCTTTTCTTTCATTCTCTCCCTTTTGGGGTACATAGAAAGGCCTCAGAAAATAAGCAAATAAAGGACTGAAATAAATGAATGTTGTCCTCCTAGTTTATCCTGGAAATGCAGTTGCTGCTTTGCTAATGAAAAAGCATGAAGGACAAATCTTTTCTCAAGTCCTACTTTCAAATGACTGCAAATATCTGCTCATGGTGCCTAGATCTATAGGGTAGGAAGTAGCCATTCAGAGGACTTGGCAGAAGTTGGTTCCTACCAAAAGAAACAATGAAAAATATGGACAGGATGGGCAAGAAAAAGGAACTGAGATGAAGTGGTACATATATACAATGTTTTCTATGTCACCAGAGGTCTTATTTATGCATTATTATAACCTGAACAGAGCTCACCACTGCTTCCACCAGTGCTAATTGCAATATTTTCTTGCCTATTCCTTGAAGAAGGAATCTTCTCTGTGAAAGCTTGATTAGCAAAGCTCTTCTAATCAAAAGCCATAAAATTATCTTTATAAAAACATTACACATTATTGTATATGAATTCTAATTGACCTGTTAAGTAAAAGAAATAAAACCTCCTTCTTTTGTTTTTGAAAACAGAGACACATCTTGCCCATTCAAATCTGAATAGTGCAACAAGCACTACTTAAACTTAAGCTATTTAATCCTCATAACAATCTTCTGAAGTAAGCTTTTGATTATCATCATTAACAGATAGGGAACCTATGGTATAGAGAAGGTAAGTAATTTGGGTAAAGTCACACAGCTGGAAAGTGCCAGAGCCAGAATTTGAGTGAAGGCTGTCTGTCACTGAAGTCTGTGCTCTACTAAATCAACAAATGCTGTTGTCTCTGCCTCTTAGCCTTATGTTCTTGTCTGGGACTGTGAGCCCTGGAAATCTAGCCCCCTCAGACATATGAATGGTGAGAACCCAGAGTTCTTTTGACCACAGTGCCAACTGTGCTTGTCAAATGGCTCACATGGGTTCCTTAAGCTTGGTTGATTTTTCTAGAGAAGGCATGGGAACTTGTAAATTGCATAGTACCGTGACTGTTGATGAAAATCTCGGTCTCTGCCCACATAGTCTGTATTTTCTAACTCTGAGCAGCTACCTTAAGCTGACAGAAAAGTTGTCAGTCAAAGCAGTATTTATTAGATTCACTTCTGGAAGCCAGTTACTTCAAATTATATAGGAACTATGGGGCTATCTAGGATAATTCAGCAAAGTATAGTTAAAATAAACCTCCTTTAATCATTTCTGCTTGGAACCTGGCTATTGGGGGTGTGTATGGGACTGAGGGAGATTTCTCTAGTGTAAAATCAAATTTTTAAGTTACTATGGGTAATAACATAGAATTTCCCTAAAGAAGAAATGAAGACCAATTCATATTTTTTCCTCATCACCGAACACATTGATAATTATTTTTATTTCTGGTAGCAATGGTCATGCCACCCCTGGAAGTAATAAATAGCAATTGTGAAATAATTATGGCATGTAACAACTTATTCTTTTTTTTTTTTTTTTTTTTTTTTTTTAGTACAGACAGGGTTTCACCATGTTGGCCAGGATGGTCTCAATCTCTTGACCTTGTGATCCACCCGCCTCAGCCTCCCAAAGTGCTGGGATTACAGGCGTGAGCCAGCATGCCCAGCCTGTAACAACTTATTCTTATGTTATCCCAGTGTTTTCTGATAATGTTACCAAAGCACTAGAGGTTTGGTCAAGACCCTACTGCACAAAAAGCCAGTCACTGAGACAGCAAGTATTGCCAAGGAAGAAGGCTTTAATCAGGTGCTGCAGCCAAGGAGATGGGGGCTCAGTCTCAAATCCATCTCCCTGGCTAAAAGTATGGGGTTTTCTTTTTTTTTAGCAGGAAATCAATGTAACAGGGTGTAAAATAGGAACTAGGGAGGGGCAAGGAGACATCTGGTTCATGGTCTGATGAGTTTCAGTTCTTTAATACTTTTTTTTTTTTTGAGAGGCTTGAAGATCCTTTCCTGAGGAAGGAACTCAGATAAAGCAAATACAGGTTTCAAGCTTTAACAGCAGAAGAGTCAATTTCTATGTTTATCTAAAAGAACAGTGTATGGGAGTATTGAGCTGGTTTTATTAATACTACCATAGCAACCATAAATATAAACTTTCCTCCATGGAGTTCAGA